CAGCAACCGTCGAAAAAAAGACGACAGCTTCGCAGATCGCACCCCCCCAGGGACGGGGAAGTACCGCTCAGATCTACGCGGTGCCTCCCTCCGCTGGGCCCACCGGCAGCCCTCGAAAGGGGCGACAATTTCGCAGATCGCAGCCCCCTAGGGACGGGGAGGTACCACTCACATCTGCGCGGTGCCTTCCATTGCTGGACCCACCGGAAGCCCCCGAAAGTGACGACAACTTCGCAGATCGCAGCCCCCCCCAGGGACGGCGAGGTGTCGCGGGAGACAAGAGGCGGGTGGAGGACGCGACCGCAGTGCTCTATTCAAAACGAATGCCCAACCAAGAAAGGCTGGGAGAAAAAAAAGGGCGCGGCCGCTTTGCACTCGATTTGGACGCCCGAAATGGGTACGGAAAAAATGGGTGCAATGCCCAACAACAGTTGTCCCAAAACCAAAAATAGCCGCTGTTCGTCAGGCGGCCGTGTGTCCCAAATGGGCACAGGCCGCAGCGGCGCGGACAGCGAGTCCTGTTCAAAATGAACAGGAACTGCTGTTGGGCATTGTGCCCATTCTTTCCGTGCCCAATTCGTGCCGACTCGAGCCCCCGCCCCAGGGGAACGGAAGCCCCCGGAACCAATTGGCTACGGCCTCCTCCTCCTTCTCCTCCTCCTCCTCCTCCTCCCCCTCCTCCTCTTCCCCCTCCTCCTCCTCCTCCTCCTCCTCCTCCTCCTCCTCCCCTCCTCCTCCTCTTCCTCTCCTCCTCCTCCTCCTCCTCCTCCTCCTCCTCCTCCTCCTCCTCTTCCTCTGGCAAGCCGCTGCGCGATCGCACCCGCGGGGTCGGGGCATGCCTGCAAAACGCAGGCGGCGCAAGCCAGCCTCGAGCGCGCTGCGCTGGGGCCACGGGCAACGTGATTGCTCGATCGGGGCGCGATGGGATTTTGGACGCCGGAAATCGGCACGTAAAGAGTGACGGTCGAGCGGATCGTCCCACCCTTTTGAAGGCGCTGCTGGCTCTCCGACAGCGCAGACCGTTCGATCTTGATCGATTCGGCTACTGTCGACGTTCCTCCCTGAACGCCCAAGCGTGTCGACACTCGTGTGGCCCAAAACCTGGACAGCAGAGCAGCGGAGGGATATCCAAGGGCCTCTCGAGGGAGCTCTGGAAGCTCCTGGAAGGAGCGTCCTGGAAGGAGCTTCCGAAGGAGCTTCTGGAGAGCTTCCAGGCAGACGTAGTTGTGGACGCCCGAAATGGGTATGGAAAGAATGGGTACAATGCCCAACAAATGTTGTCCCAAACCAAACACGGCCGCTGTTGGGCAGGCGGCCGTGTGTCCCAAATGGACACAGGCCGCGGCGGCGCGGACAGCGAGTCCTGTTCAAAATGAACAAGAACTGCTGTTGGGCATTGTGCCCATTCTTTCCGTACCCAGTTCTTCGTGCAGAGGGATGGTAGACGTGCGCCCCGTTCACAAGCCTACAGTCGGACTTGATAGCAGGACGCGCGAGAGGACACAAGACCCTTCCGCGGTCCACATTGCCACAGGAAATTAGGAGACATGGGTCGCACGGCACGACACGGGGCACGAGGGTACCCTTGATCTGGCAGGGTCGACCTACTAATCCGGGCCGCCTGTATTCCTCCTCCGCATCCTTCTTCTTTTCTGCCTTTCTCTGGGGACCCCGAGATCCCTCCGCTGATGCCCCATGCCAACGGAAACGGACAGCTACCGAGTTCACGACCGCTGCCCCCCAGGACATCTTGAGGGCGCGGTCAGACCAAGGCCCCGGGGCGACCCCGCCAGTGGCGACGAGACCTTCTCAGGACCTAGGGTTCTCCCTTAATAATCATAATAATAGTACTACTACTACTACTACTACTACTACTACTACTACTACTACTACTACTACGACTACTACGACTACTACGACTACTACGACTACTACGCCTACTACTACTACTGCTACTACTACTACTACTACTACTACTACTACTACTACTACTACTACTACTACTACTACTTACTACTATACTACTACACTACTACTACTACTACTACTATAGTACTAGTACTAGTACTAGTACTAGTACTACTAGTACTAGTACTAGTACTAGTACTACTACTACGACTACGACTACTACGACTACTACGACTACTACTACTACTACTACTACTACTACTACTACTACTACTACTACTACTACTACTACTACTACTACTACTACTACTACTACTACTACTACTACTACTACTACTACTACGACTACTACTACTACTACTACTACTACTACTACTACTACTACTACTACTACTACTACTACTACAACTACAACTACAACTACAACTACAACTACAACTACTAATAATAATACTAATAATAAAACGAAGTATCGGACGAACAACGGATTTGCTGCTGTTGCCAGCCACGCGCTCTCGATAGGGCGATGACGCCTGGGCAAACCGAGCGCGTGCTGTTCTTGTCCGGAGGCATGTTGGCTGGTGAATGTCCTGCACGCGGGACGCAAAAGTGGCAAGGAAGCCGGCATATCGAAATCGCGTCAACAGACTCAGCGGGCCCACTGGATGCGAGTGCGCGTGCCGTAGGAAACTCAGAAATAAGCCGAGGAAGGGATAACACCTCGACTCGCAGAGCTGCGATCGCCACGGAAGCGTATTGGAGCTCGGACGTGCTCCACGTCGCTTGCTTTGCAAGCGATGCTGTCTTGAGGCACTGCGCGTTCGGAGTCGCCGCCTCGGCCTGGTCATCTTCTCCGAGAAGCCCTCCGACAGTGGCGCTTGCGCGCCCCAAGTGTTTGACGAAGAAGTTTTGGTACTTGTGGCCCTTCTCCGCGAGTCCATGGACAACCTTCATCTCGACCGGTCCGAAATGCAACCACGTGGGCTGCTTGTCGGGCGAATCCCCGGCTTTGAAATGAGTGTCCGACCTCGTCCATTTGCCCGTGATGCTGACGGCCTGGAACTACAACTCAGCAAACGACGGGCCCAAACGGCGAGCGTCGGCCTCGACGGTGAGCATGCTGTCCTTCACGGGCACTCCGCGAGGAACTTGAATGAGCGTGAAGTTGCCCTGCTTCATCAGGTCGAACCTCTCCCCGTAGATGTTCTGCAAGTGCGGGTCGCCTGTGGCAAATGCCGGAGATGGCGTCGCCGGCGTCGGTGCAGGCGTCGCGGCAGCCGTCTTCCCGTGGCAGCTATTTCCGTTGTGACTGCTGGGCACCAGATCCGACACCGTGGTTGCAACGCGCCCGGAGCTCGGAGTATACGCAGGGCAAGGGTTTATCGTAGACGCCCAGGCACACCCGCCCGGGGAACCATGCGAGAAACCGATGTCCCACGCTAGCTCCGTGCAGCGATCCTGGCATTCTTGCATGTAGACTAAAAGGGGCCGCTGGCTGGAAAGCATCGATATGGGTAGCCGCCATCCATGTGTCCACAGTAGTTCGACGTCGAGATCGTAGCATAGGTTGGGGCCTGCTTATGGGTTCTCGTCATGAGCGAGGCGTTGCGGTGGTCGATGGCCTGAAGGGAGACAGATGGAAGGAGACGGCAATGCGGTGGTCGTTCCTCCCACCTGCACCGTAACAGAAGTCACGACGAACGCTTCATGTGCGAATAGCGCAACCACATGTACGGCCAGCGGCACCTTCCGAATCCGCGTCGCCGCCATCCTGGCAAGTCGAGCAAGAGGAAATTACAGGTCCTGTAAGAAATATGGAGACTGAAAATGTCTTGATCGAAGATGACCACGGAAGGAAGACCGGGCACACGCTTGAAAACGGTACGCAACACAGTTGGTGAGTTTGAGGGCCCGCGCCGATCGGCAACACAAGGAACAAGAAAACGACCAGATGGTCATTCGGCATGCTTCCCTGCACCTCGAGATGCGCTCAAGAACGCTTGCCAGACGCCTCCCGGGTCCCCGGGCCCCCTCCCGGCCAACTTGTCGAGCTGCGCCCAGCCGTGGCCATGAGAAGTCCCCCAGAAGACAGCGCCCAGAAGCCCGCGGACCGATGACGTCGTCGACATCGGCTGGCGCGTGCCGTGACTACGTCTGTGCGGATCGCTCCACCCTTTTGAAGGCGCTGCTGGCTCTCGGACAGCGCAGACCGTTCGATCTTGATCGATTCGGCTACTGTCGACGTTCCTCCCTGAACGCCCAAGCGCGTCGACACTCGTGTAGCCCCAAACCCGGACAGCAGAGCACCAGCGGAATATCCAAGGGCCTCTCGAGGGAGCTCTGGAAGCTTCTGGAAGGAGCGTCCTAGAAGGAGCTTCCGAAGGAGCTTCTGGAGAGCTTCCAGGGCTTAGAAAACCTCTCTCGGGACAAATTTCCAGCTCACGCAATGCGCGCCAGGGATTTTCCACGAAGCCGGAACGAGCTCATGGGCTACCGTGCGGTGCCGGCCAAGAGGGGGTCGTCCAAGGTGTGTGTGTGTGTGTGTGTGTGCGCAGAAGGGGGTACGGAGAGGGGGGAAGGCTTCTTAGAAGGAGGCTGTTTCTTAGAAGGCGCGGGCCTTACATTATGGAGAAGGCATGCGCCTTCTAAGAAGCAGTGGTGCTTCTAAGAAGCCTTCCCCCCTCTCCCTACCCCCCTCTGCGCGTGGCCGACTCATGGCACCCGCCATGATGTCCACCCCCCCGTAGTCACCACCTCTTGGCCACCCCCGACTAAAACCAGCGCCCCTCTAACGGGAACTCCATTAACGAGTACTTTGGCAGTGACCCAGCGAACCTGACCCTCCCCGATGTGGGCAACACTGCAAGGCCAGAAAGAGGCCCTGAAGGGGCAACTTTGGGCAACTCTCCAAAGTACCCGTCAGTGAGCACCCCTTACGGTGCCGCTGATAAAGCTCTCCAAGGAGCTCTCTGGGCACGGCACGAGCCTGTCGCATCGGCACGGCTCCTCCCCCCACCCGACGAGGTGCGGCCCGCGCGCGCGGCGGCCGGGAGGCCGAGCGGGGGCCGGCTTCTGGCAGCCGAGTGCGCCGCAGCTGGTCCCCGGCCGGGGGCTCGGCGGGCTCCAGCGCCAGGCGGGCGCGCGGGGCGGAGGCCTCCGCTGGGAGGCTCCTTGTCGTCGTCGTCGTCGTCGTCGTCGTCGTCATCGTCGTCGTGGGTCTTGACGGCGTCGGCATTGGCATTGGCGTCCTCCTCGTCGTCCTCCTCATCGTCGCTCTCACCGGCGTCGTCGGCGTCCGGGGGGGGGTAAGCGGATGATTTCGAAACTCCTCGGCGTTTCAACGCACACAGCGGCACGCGCCGGCGGCTTGTTTTACTGGCACAAGCCTAAAACCAGGTGAGTCTGCTGTCTCTTTCTCGACTCCTGCCTCTTCCTCGTCGGCGTCGTTGGCATTGAAGGCGTCGGCGTTGTCGCCGGCGTCGTCGGCGGCGTCCTCGTCGGCGTCGTCGAGGGTCGAGACTCGGGGTCGAGGTTCGAGGACTCGAATTCGCTGACAAGGGGCCACCAGGAGGTCCCCTAAGAAATCTCCAGGAGTCCCAAACGTCTCCAAGACGCCCCCAAGGGGCTCCAACGATGCCTCCCAGGAGACCCCAAGACGCCTCTACGACGCCATCTCTCACTACCAAAGCACAGTGGCGGGATGGGCCGAACGTCTTTCTCCTTATCTCTCTCTCCTTCTTTCCCTCTCTTTTTCTTACCATGTGCACCACGCGCACACGCACCTGTTTTGCGCCATGGGGCTTGCCAGGGGGCCAGAATTCGGCTACACGGGCGTGCCCCCCCACAGGGGGATTGTCGACGCAAAATCAAAAATACGCAAGACATGTTCAAACATGGCAAGACAAAATGCTCAAAAAATCGTCCCCTGACTATCTTCTGACCACTTCTGAATAGTCCCCCTGTAGAGGGACAGGCCCGACTTTCAGGCTACACTCAGTGCGTGACCCTGGGCGAGAGTGACCCCTGGTGCGCGGCTCTCGGGAGCCGCGGGGGGGGCCCAGACCCGAGCGCGCAGGACGCGGCCGCCGCAGCGCCCTCGGCGATGGGGCCCCGGCCCTGGTCGCCTCGGCCGTGGACAAACCTCCCTTTCGCAAACCTCCCCTTAGTGAAAACGGCCTGGGACCGAAACCGACGGGCCGGGACCAGCAAAAATGACGGCAGCGACGCCCCCTCGCGAACCGAAAACGGCCGATTTTCCTAATCGACGTGTCAGGGTAGGAGGTCTATCAACCTCTGGTCGGCCCGAACCAGAGGTGCCTCCGGCGAAAGGTCACTCGCCTAAGACGCCCCTTCTACTCCCCAGGCACGGTGGCGGGATGGACCGAAACTCTCTCTCTCTCTCTGTAGAGGCCTCCTGGACGGGTTCCGAGCCGCATCGTCGATGCGTCGGCGATGCGGCGCGATCCACCGACCCTGTCTACTCGGACCCCATCTGGGAGGCCTAGACTCTCTCTATCCCCATCTGTGTGCCTTGCGCGCACGCGCCTCGCTGGCGCCATGGGGCACGCCAAGGGGGCCGCACGAATGCACTCGTCGGCTCCGGCCGGGCGCAGCCGCCGGGGGCCGACTCACCCGCCCCGCACGGCCGGGCCCACGGCAGCAGCCGGGCGCGCGCCTCAGAACTTCGCCTCCCGGGGCCCGCCAGGGCGGGCGGCCTCGGCGGCGAGCTCGTCCGGCTCCGCCTGTGAGGCACAGGCCGAGGAGCCGGCCCGGGTCACGAGAGAGGCGAGGTCAGGACGCAAGGGCCTTGGGCGCCCTCTTCGGAGCTCTTCGAGCGGGGCGCGGCCAGCGGAAGTGGCCAAGGACCGGGCCGAGGAGGGGAAGCCCAAAGATCCGATGTCGTGATTTTTTCCATGCGCGGTCCCCGGACGTCTCGACCCCTTCCCCTGGACCCGTTTTGGTATTTCATCCTGAGTCGTTTTTTCACGGTCCCGGGGCCCGGCGAGGGCCCCTGGGGGCTGAAATTTGCGAAAAACCTCCGTCTTGATTCTTTCAATACGTTGGATCTCTGGGGAGGGGAAGGCTGCCCATCCTTCCCGTGCGGGCTGACTGCATCGAGACGAGCTCTGGGAGCCGCGGCGGGCGCCGCGGCCGCTTCCTGTGCTGGAGCGTCAACCAGGGCGCTCTAGAGGCCATGGCTCGGACGTCCATTCCCTGTGCTTTTTTCGGTTCCGTGCGTGTTTTTTCGCCAGATGATCAAGGATGCTCCTCGAGGGTCCTCGCAGAAAAAAATGCACACGCCCGAGCGATGCCAAGAGGAGGAGGAGGAGGAGGAGGAGGAGGAGGAGGAGGAGGAGGAGGAGGAGGAGGGGGAGGAGGAGGGGAGGAGGAGGAGGAGGAGGAGGAGGAGGAGGAGGAGGAGGAGGAGGAGGAGGAGGAGGAGGAGGAGGTCTAGAGGCCAGGCTCTGGCATGGCTTGGCTCGCGACTCGCGGCCCGCCCGAGGTCCCTGGGGCTGGCTCGTCCAGCCCGAGCCGCCTCTCGGCGGCCCCGCGCCCCGGCGCCGGCCTCCAGGCGCCCAGGAAGGAGAGACGACACTCGGATCAAGTCGGGCCTGCCCCTCTACAGGGGGGATGTTAGAGCGCTCCGAGCACGCTCTGAGGGCACTCCGCGAACGCTCTGGAACGGACTCGTCTCGATGCACGGCCCGTGTAGGGGGCCACATGCGAACCCTACCCCTACCCCCCACAATTCGGAGGGGGAGGGTGGGGTTCACTTCGCTCGGGAGCTCCCGAACCAAGTGAACCCCACCCTCCCCCTCCCAAACCGTGGGGGGTAGGGGCGCAGTCGGGGCGTTGACCTAAGGAACGATAAATAAGGAACGAGGCCACTTTCTTCCACTAGTTCAACTTCGATTTCCTATCGAAAACATCAGGAAAACCTAAGGCAAGCTGTGAAACACTTAAGGAACACGGAGCCCCTTCCCAACGAAAAGGGTTCCTTCTTCAGCGACCCGACTGTAGTACCCACCGGTCGGAAGAAGTAGGTAGAAACATGGAATAGGGAGGCGGCCAAAGTAGATTGGGCTCGGGCCCGCCCAGAGAGTAACAAGAAACACCCAGAGCGCATCGATTCATGAAGTAGGAAGGCACTTGGAAGCAGACTGGGTTCTGGGAATCCAGAAATACGTACTTTCAACGACCGATGGGTAGGGTTCGCATGTGGCCCTAAAACAGGGCTAGGATCGGGATGAATCGCTCCAGAGCGTTCCGGTGCGCTCTCAGAGCGTTCCGGAACGCTCTGGAGCGGCCGCGGCGCCCAATACATCCTCCAAAGCCGCCGACTCTCAGAGATTTCGAGTTACCCCGATCCGTTTTTGTCCCGATCGTCGCGTCGTTTGAGGCCCCCCTGCCGTGCGAACCCGCGCCTCGTCCCAGCGCTCCAGCGCCTCCCGCAGGGAGGCCCGCACCCGGGCGCCGGACGAGGGGTGCAGCAGCGCGGCCGCGGCGTCGGGGCCCGTCAGGGGCGACAGCCTGGCCACCTGCGGGGGGGCAGCGTGGAGGCAGCTGGCTGGGATTGCGTCGGAAAGATTGAGGGAGATCAGCGTCGGGAAGATTGAGGAGGATTGCGTCGGAAAGATTGAGGAGGATTGTCAGGTACTCATTCTGGGGACCCTCCTGGAGCCACTCGCTCCACACCTGTGTCGAAGCTGCAACGAACCCGAGTCGAGCCTGAGTCGAACCTGAGTCGAACCTGAGTCGAGCCTGCGTCGAACCTGAGTCGACCCTGAGTCGAATCTGAGTCGAACTTGAGTCGAACCTGAGTCGAACAGATCCGTTAGGTGGGCCTCAGGAAGGTCCCCAGAACGAACATCGAAGAATTGCGTCGGAAAGATTGAGGAAGATTAGCGTCGGAAAGATTGAGGAGGTTTGCGTCGAAAAAATTGAAGAAGGTTTGCGTCGGAAAGATTGAAGAGGATTAGGCCCCCTTTTGAAGCCGCTGCGCAGGAGTGGGACTCGGACTAAGCAGGATGAAGCCGGATTAAGCGGGATTCAGCGGGAGAAAGCCTGATTAAGCGGGATTAAGCTGGATTTCGGACCAGGGCGAAAACAGAATTTGACCTCCCAGGAGTTGCATCCGACGGACAGGAATGGTCAGGGATGGGGGCGGGTATGGGATAGGAATCCATTGAACCAAGAATCCAGGCTCTGGAAGCCGGTGGAGCTCCAATCGTGGATCGGCCAGGGATATCACCGCCGCCCTCATCAGACAGGGAACCCTCTAGGGTCTGAGGACTCCTGGGCAAGTTCCCTGACCAACGCCCCCACCGTGGGGGGGGGAAGACTGGTGCAAGGGGGGGTAGCAGTGGCCGGGAGTCGAGGGTACATCCCCAGCAGATCAGCGGTGGGCCCCCGATGGGTGGGGGGAAGGGGAGGAGGAGGAGGAGGAGGAGGAGGAGGAGGAGGAGGAGGAGGAGGAGGAGGAGGAGGCGGAGGAGGGGAGGAGGAGGAGGCGGAGGAGGAGGAGGAGGAGGAGGAGGAGGAGGAGGAGGAGGAGGAGGAGGAGGAGGAGGGAGGAGCCCCACGCTTCTGGGCAGGCAGGGGCGGCCCAGGCCCCCATCGGCGGTGGGGCCGATGCCTCCCCCCTCTCCCCTCTTGGCCAGGCCACCCCATCGTTGCCCCTGGCATGCCAGGGCCAGCATAAAATCATAACCGGCTCATCATAGCCAGCTCAAAATCAAAAGAGGCATCATAGCATCATCAATCTAGATTGATCCACTCACGGGTCCACTGCAATTTATTTCCATTGACTTCATTCCATGCGTAGCATGCTCTCCCCTGGCCTCCACCCTGCATTTGGAGCACGGAAGGTGCCGAGGCCGCTGCGGCGGCGGCGACGAGGGTGGAGGCCGCGAGATCTCCCCTCGCGCTTTCCACAGCCCCGGCTCCCGAGTCGGGCGGTGCTTCATCGGGGGGGGTCTAATAGGGGGCCTCGAAACGAGCACCTTCCGTGCTCTCTTTGGGCCCCAGGACGCCCCTTGAATAGAGCCAGAAAAACCGCCATAACCAGAAACATTTGCGCTCCGTGCGGATTTCTTAAATCTGCGCTGGACCCCCCTGCCTGGCGCGCGGAGCGCGCCACGGGCGGCGCCGGAGGCGCCGCTGGAGGGGGCCCAGCGTGGATTTAGGAATTCCGCGCGGAGCGCCAAAAGTTTATGTTCATGGTGTTCTTTCTTGTTCGATTTAGGGCACAAGCGGTGTTCCGTCCCCCCCTCATTGCGCAACGCCCGACCGAAGGCCTTCCTTCGGGCCCCGGGCCCATCCGAAAGACCGACTACGGCAGGTTCGTGTCGTATCGACCTCGGCGTTGGTTTCTGACACCGCGGGGCTGGTTCAAGCTTGAACGATGGGCCGTTTCCGAAACGTCAGGTCGTTCCACATCGACCGATTCTGGGTCATCGGCGGCGTTCAACATTGAACGCCAGCGGCGGGGCCGCCGCCGGCCGACGCGACGCGAACCTTCCGTGCCGCGGGGGAGGGCGAGGGCTCCCGCAGGGGCCCGCGCCGCGGAGAGCAGCAGACCACGACGCCCCAAGGTGAAGGGGCCCTGGGACACACAAATAAATACACACAAATAACAGGATTCCCAATATTTTCTTATATTTTCGGGGGTTTTGTCTTCCCCCCCACTTCCCATATTTTCCAATATTTTCTGGGGAATCGACGATTAACTGTGTCTGTGCTTTTTTTCCCCTCCTGACAAGAAGTCGCCGCCGTGGTCGTGGCTGGCCCCTCGCCTTGCCCGCTGCTGGCGCCGCGGGGAGTGCGCCCGATACCAGGCTGGGCGGTGCCGTCGCCGTCGTCGTCGCTGCGCCCTTCCCCTGGCGCCAGCCTTGGGTCGGGCGTCCTCCCCTATAGGCGGACTTTGGACGAGAGATGGGAAGTATCCAAACCATGCTCAAGCATAATCAAATATGATTAAACACAAATCGTGTTATGATTATGCTTTATCAGTTTTTTTGATATTCCTACTGTAGAGGTACACGCCCGACTTAACGCCAGCCCTTCCCCGTGGCCCTTCCCCCCCGCCGTTGCCGCCACCGCCATCGCCGCGCCCTTTCCCCGCTCTTGCCCCGCCGCCGCCGTCGTCGCTGCGCCCCTCCCCGTGGCCACCAGCCACGTGATCCGCGCCTCGCGGCCGGTGCAGTAGTTGCCGTCCTGCAGCGTGGACCTGAGGTTCCCCAGGAGCCTGCTCAGCTCGCTCGTGCCGTGGTCGGGTGGGCCGCCCCAACGGCTCAAGGGACGAGCCCCGCTGACATCTCAGCGGCTTGCAAGCGGCTCGAGATCGCATCGCACAACTTCTGTCAACGGTGCTACTCTGACGACTCATATTTGATTCGACGTCGCGGGAACCGGTGGGGACAGTCCTCAGGGTCCCCGATGCCCCAGAGAGCTCGACTGGCTGCCGCCTGGGCCCCCGAGGGGCAACAACATCGGCCCCTGGACGTCATGCCCCACGGGCGCTGCCGAGGCGGAGCCAACCACGCGGCGACGAGGGGCCTCCCAGAGGCCCGGAACAAGGCGGCCCTCGCATGTGCGCATCTATCCGCCGGCTTCCTTCGGGGCGCAACCAAGGCTGTCTTGTGCTCTTTGCGCTGTCGTTCATGACTGTCTCTCGTCCCTCCAGTCCTGCCTCCATGCCACTGTCTACCAGGTGCGAGAGGAGGGCCCCGGCGCCAACAAACAACAATCCTGGGAGGTTCAGACTCTTGGCCGCTCTAGGGTTCCCCGGGGTTCCCATGGGGACGCCACCGCACGGCCAGGAAAGCCAGCGGAGGCGTCGAAGACGACACGAGGAGAATCCGGAGTGAGCCTCAATAGCCCAAAACGCCCAAGAGGGCCCTAAGATGGCCCCGGGACGGCCAGAGAGGCCTCAAGACACCACAAGATGGCCCTGACCAGATTTCCAGAAACCTGACTCTCGCTGATTCCATTATTTGTTGGACACATTTCGCGTTCTCGCCTTTGCGGGCTTCCCCATGCCCGAGACGGATCAAGTTGTCTCAAAAATGGTTCCCAGGCTGTCCCCAGAGAGAATGCCAAGAGGGCTTGTAAAACGGCCGAGGCGGCCCCCAAGACGGTCGCAGGACGGCTCAGGGGAGCCCCAGGAAGGCAACCCAAATATCCCCAGAACCCAAAGCCGGCCCCCAAAGGGACCCAAAACGGTCTCAGAAAACCCCACCGACGGCCGCAAAAATGCCCCAGGACGGCCAAGATGGCCCCCAGACGGTCCAAGATAACCTCGAGATGAAAACGGGCAAAACGTCCCCGGCACAACGCGAAAACAGGTGCCACATGCTACGGCTCTCCCACAGCTCGGGACGCGAGATATCTCACGCGCCCCAGCCTCCCGTGCGCTCCCCGTGGACGGCCGCCGCCCCGGGTGCCAGGCTGGCACGATGGCGGGACTTGCCGCAGGCAGCTGCGTACCCACGAACACGTGCCTACATACGTACCTACACACATAATGCCGACCCGTTGAATCATGATGGACCCACGGACCTGGAAAGGGATATAGAACCGCATGCGTGGAAACGTTTTCACGACACCGCATTGGGCGACGGGCACTTCCACGAGACACCCCGCGAAACATTCCACGAGACACGGGCGACCGTTTTCAACGTTTTCCTGGAAACATTCCACGAGACACCCCGCGAAACAATCCGCGAGACACCCCACGAAACACTCCACGACGACAGGCAACCATTCAACCAAGGCGGTGTGGTCGTGCTGGGGAGTGGTCGTGCTGGGGTGTGGTCGTGCTGGGGGGTGGTCGTGCTGGGGGGTGGTCGCGCGGGGATGGTAGTCGTGCTGGGGGGTGGTCGTGCTGGGGCGTGGTCGTGCTGGGGATTGGTCGTGCTGGGGCGGGGTCGTGTTGGGGTGTGGTCGTGCTGTGGTGAGGTCGTGCTGGGGCGCCCAGATCCCCAAGTTCTATAAAACAAGCGATTCGCTCGAGACATCCTCGGTAGCTCTGCGGAGCAAGCGTTTCGCTCGAGACATCCTCAACGCACGAAAGAATGGCCCGCACCCGGTGATTTATCGATCGGGATTTCAAAAACAAGCGTTTCGCCTGAGACATCCTCAATTTTTACTCCGCCGGCCCACCTCGACCTCGATATTTATCAGGGAACGAATCCGCCGGCCCACCTCAGTTGAGGCACCGGGGACAGGTTAACCAACTAAAAGAAAACCCTGGGCCGCCCTCTCTGGGAAAAAAAACGCGCGATAAGGATGCAAGGGCCCTGAACTGCCGTTTCGAAGCTGTTCGGGCGGGGCGCAGTCGACGAAAGTGGCCAAGGATGGACCGAAGAGACAAAGATGCAAGGATACCCGTGGGAAAATTGCCCATCCTTACTCTACGGGCTGACTGTGCACATAATGTCAGCTTGTGATTCACAAATCCGTGGGGGGCGCGTGTTTGAAAAATCCCATCAGCCCTCCGGGCGTCGGTGGTTTAGGGCGTTTCCTCTTCCACCCCTCCCTCTTCCCCTTCGGGGAGGGGTTTACCCTTCCCCCTATTTCCGCATCACACCGCAGGGCAAACCCCGCAGTTTTTTCGGAGGCCACCCAAGGGGCCAACAACCGCGGCAAACAATGCAACGCGAAGCGTGTGCAATAAAATCCGCTTGCCACTGGCCGTGGCTCATTTGGGGGTGCTGCACCTGTCGCAGGCCGCGGCAGCGCACCCGACAAGGGGCGGCCACCAACCCCCCAAAGAGGGAACGGATTGCGACCAGCACGTCACGCCACACTGGGCGGGCGGGCGGGACCGCAAGCGCGCGGCACCACCCCCCGGGCCTGCGCGCGTAAAGGCAAGGAAGAGAGGATGGAAAGTAGAAAAAAGGGTGTCCGCGAAAACCTCGTTTCCCGAACGCATTGCCTCCTCAGAAACTACGCCCCCCTCCCCGTGGACCTGGACGGGAGGGGTGGGAAGGTGTCAAGGCGTCCAAAACGGCCTCGGCGAGGAAGCCAACATCATTGATGTTACTACAATTTTGGCCCCATTTTTGGCCTCCTGAGGGGGCAACCCTGATTGAAGTTCCCTTCTTTGATCGATGTCCTCCAAGATGGCCACAAAAAACGCCCAGGAGGCCCCAAGAGGCCCCAAGATGGCCCCAAGAGGCCCCCAGGAGGCCTCCAAGAGGATCCCAAGCGGCCCAAAGAATCTCCCCCGAGGCACCCAAGACGCCGACAAACCCCTCAGGACGACCCTCAGCTCGTCTGGGCGTCGTTTCTGGATGGGCTGGCGGGGATGCGCGAAGCGTCGCGGGGGGGCTCCCGCCAGATTGAAAATCAACGGGGCCGCTCCGGCCGACACCCGGCCGCCAACGAGGGGCAAGGGGGGGAGTTCTCGCCATCGCTCGGACGTCCATTTCCCGTGCATTTGTCGGTTTCGTGCTTGTTTTTGTTGTTCGATGGTCCAGGATGGTCCTGGATGGTCCTCGCCGAGAAAAAATGCACACGTCCGAGCGATGCCAGGCGTTTGGAGGCAAGGGCGAGCCAGGGCGCCCCTCTTTCTGTCGAGCCGATGCGGGCCTGCGGGCAAGGCGGGCCGGACGAAAGTGGGGCGCAGCAGACGGGGGATATGCCAACCAGATCACGTCGCCGATTTTCCAAGCGCCTCCTGGCTCCGAAAGCGGCCATGCGTCGAGGACTGGCCCTTCGGCGGGGCGACCGAAACCAGCTGCGTGCATCAGGCTTTGCAACCCCCCCTTTCCATCCCCAGCCTTTCGTCCGACCCTCCTCCTCCTACTCTTCCTCCTCCTCCTCCTCCTCCTACCCTTTCCTCCCCCTCCTTTCCTCCCCCCCTTCCCTCCCCCCCTTTACAATTACTCAATATGAATACTATTTTCCCTCTTCCCCTGATGGCGTCCTGGGAATATTCGCCCCCCCCCACCCCCGTATTGTTTTTTTACACACAGGATTCCCGGGAGTTGGGTTTTCGCCAGCGTTTTTTTTGGTTGTTTCAAAATGCTGCTCTCGCTGAGGCGCCGGCCTCATTTCTGCTCCCGAATCGTGCTCCCGCTGCAGCGTGGGCCTCATTTCGGATCGGTGTTTTGCCTCCGTCGTTCAGGATGGCGTTCTCGCCCCAGCGCGGGCCTCTTTCTCGCGCGCCCATCCGCCCGCCACCACCGCGCCGCACCACTCCCCGCCCCGCCGCGCGCACACCCACCGCCACTTCCACCCACTAGCGCACGCACGCACGCACGCGCACCACCACCGCGCACCGCCACCACCATCGCACTACCCCGCCCACCACCACCACGCTACACCGCGTCACACCACATCACACGCGCGCACACACAGACACACACGCACGCACGCACGCACGCACACACAGACACACACACACACACACCACCACCGCCACCACCACCACCGCCATCACGCACGTACGCACCTGGCCCACCACCAAACCACCAAGACGCCACACCACGTCACACCACAGCACACGCGCACACACGCACACGCACACACATACACACCATCACCACAACAACCACAACCACGCACACACGCACGCACGCACGCGCACCACCACCCACTACGCACACGCGCGCGGAGCCACAGGTCCGCTACGACACGCGTCCGCGGATAGAGAAAATCAGCGCCATGGTAAGGGATGGGAGGGAGGGGTAGGATGTCAAATGTTGACGCGAGCGCACCTAACTTGCCTCCCCCTCCTCCTTCTCCTCCTCCTCCTCCTGCTCCTGCTCCTCCTCATCCCTCTCCTCTTCCTCTTTCTCGTCCTCCTCCTTCTCCTCCTTCTGCCCCGTCCCCCTCCTCTCTCCTCCTTCCCCCTGGCGCGCGTGGTGTCAACAAATATCGCACTCCGCGGGGTCTATTCATCAGCCCCTGGGGGAGGGGGGCCTTGTGGTAATCACAAGCTGACCTTATGCCTATATACACGGTCTAAGATTTCTGAATGACAGGCTTAGATCTGTCACGTGCATCCACACAAACCACGCCTCGATCGCTGGCCCGCTCTTGGGACATCGCTGGCCCACCATCGCTGGGCCAACACCGACCACGGCGGCTCACGTCCTCCCTCACCTCGCAAGGAGGGTGCCAGCGTCTGCGCTCGCCTGCACCGGCCCCAGGCTGGGCCCATGCTGGCCGCCGATTGGCCTCAGCCTCGAGCCCACTCGGCCACCCGACGCGAGATTCCCGCCAGCACGTCGGATCTGAGCCCGCTCGGCTGCCCCTGTGGCGGGCCGAGTGGGCTCTCACGCCGACTGCGCTCAGAAGGGGACCCTGGTGCACTTGAAGCCTCCCAACTGTGCAGAAAGCGAACAGGGTCGGAGAATCGTGCCGCACCGCCCATGCACCGGCAACGTCCGGATGGAGAACTTTGGGCTCGGGATGGTGCCGCGTCGCCGATGCATCGGCGATGCGCCGATGCCCTCCGGCCCGAATCTGCTCCGATCCCATTGGGGAGCCCTGGATTGGCGGCGAGCGAGGGGGGAAATGAGAAGGAGAAGGCCTTCTCAGAAGGCGGCTGGACTTCTCAGCAGCCCTCGCGCCTTCTGAAAAGTTTTCTTTTGTTTTCGGGGAAGGCTCATAGAAAACCTCGCAGCAGGCCGGGTGACGTCCGAACCTTCCGAGACGGCCTCCTCCCCCTCACTTCCCCCCCTTGCTCGCCGCCGACTGGAGGGACGCCGATCCCCAGAGATCCGATGTCGTGATTGTTTCAATGCGCGGTCCCCGGACGTCTCGACCCCTTCTCCTGGACCGGTTTTTCACCCCGAGCCGTTTCTTCACGGTCCCGGGGCCCGGCGAGGGCCCCCAGGGGCCGAAATTAGCGAAAAACTTCCGTCCGGATTTTTTCAATACGTTGGATCCTTGGGGGCGCCGATCCTGGGCCCAGGACCTGCCTGGCCGGTGCCCATGCTGGTGTTAAGTCGGGCCTGTCCGCCTACAGGGGGATCTTCGAGGGAAAATTAGAAGTACGCAGAAAATGCGCCAAAATGGTCGACAAATGCTAACAAAAATCGTCCCCTGACTATTTCTGGACAGTTTTTGCATATTCGGCGGTGGACAAACCTACCTCTAGTAAACCTCCCCTTAGTGAAAACGGCCTGGGACCGAAACCGACGGACCTGGACCCGCAAAAACGACGGCCGCGACGCCCTCTCGCGAGCCGAAGACGGCCACTTCGCTAATCGACGTGTCAGGGTAGGTCTATCAACCTCCGAGCTGAAGGGGCTGACTCGGTCGGCCCGTGTCGTCAGGATGCACAATGCAAGGATGCCAGGGCCCTGGATAGGGGAACAACAAGTGGCATAAACATAGAAACTCGGGGTGGGAGGTTCGGGTCGGGCGAAAGGGGGGGATAACAAAGGGGGGGTTTGAGAATCAGCTCGCGTAGCTGATTTTCCCGGCGCCTCCCGGCGCCGGAGGCGGCTATGTATCGAGGAATGGGCCCCTCGGTGAGGCCGAAACCAGCTGCATGCAGCAAATTTCGTAACCCCCCCTTTCCCAATCCCCCCCTTTCGCCCGACCCGAGAGGTCTGCCCACCCCCGAAATATTCCTCCTGCAGAGGGACACGCCCGACCGAATGCTGGTGCGCAGCTGGCGCCCCCCCCCCCTCCGCCGCATACCTCCGGGGAGCCCCCGCGCAGCGCCGCGGCGGCCTCCTCGGCGCCGGCCGCGGCCGCCGCGGCGGCAGCACGCCACTCGGCGAGGGGCCCAGCGGCGCGTCAGGCGAAGCGCCTGCGACTCCGACGATTGCCTCAAGTCGGGCGTGTCCCCCTGCAGGGGGATTGTCGACGACAAAATAAGAGGTATTCAAAACTACTCCCACATGGCCAAAAACTACTCCCAAAATAATCCCCAGGCTATGTTCTGACTACTTCTGAATCTTCCTCCTGTGGATGGACAGGCCCGACTTCACGGTGGCGGCGTCGAGGACGGCCGACGGCGTCGGCGACCGACGGCGTCGGCGGCCGACGAGACGACGGCGACCGACGGCGCAGACTGGCCCGCGCAGACCGACGACGACGACGACGACCAGCGACGACGACGACTGTCGGGTCGGGCGAAAGGGGGGGATAGCAAAAGGGGGTTTGAGAATCAGCTCGCGTAGCTGATTTTCCCGGCGCCTCCCGGCGCCGGAGGCGGCCCTGTATACAAGGAATGGGCCCCTCGGTGGGGCCGAAACCGGCTGCATGCAGCAAATTTCGTACCCCCCCCCTTTCCCCATCCCCCCCTTTCGTCTATAGCCCGAGACTGGCGACGACGACTGGCGACGACGACGAACGACCGACCGACCGACGACCGGCGACGAGGGCCGGCGGCCGGCGGCGCGGGCCTGGGCGCCCGCCACGCGCGCGCGGCGCCGGCGGGGCCCGCGCCCGCCCGCCGCGCCGCGGCGAGGCGCAGGGCGGCGAGCGCCATGGCGGGCGCCGGGCGCCGGCGAGGCCCTGCGGCCCCCTCGAGGGAGAGGCTCGAGGCGGGCAGGGGGTCGGGGCCCTCCTGCCGCTCGGGGCTCCCACCCCCCCTCCCTCCCTCGCCTTCCCCGGGAGCTCTGCCCTCTCCCTCCCTCGGCCTCCCTCCTCCTCCCTGCCTCCCTCCCCCTCGAGGCCCGAGGCTCGAGCGCCCTCGCCCTGCTCCTCGGGGCTCGGGGCTCGAGGCGCGTCGAGGCTCGAAGGCCCCCCCCTCCCCCCCTCCTCGCCCTGTTGAAGGGGCCCTGGGACACACAAATAAATACACACAAATAAAAGGATTCCCCATATTTTCCCATACTCTCTGGATTTCTGTCTTCCCCCCCACTGCCCATGTTTTCCCAGATTTTCCCGGGGAAGCGACAATTACTTGTGTCTGTGTGTTTTTTCCCCTCCTGATCCTCGCCCTGCAGCGGGCAAGCCCCCCCGCCGCCGCAGCTGCGGCGGCGTCGCCCAGCGACGCGGGGCCTCCGGGTCTCCGCCCCCCCCCGCGCTCGCCGGCGCTTCCGGCGATCCCAGAGCTTAGTGGGCCCAGAGGGGGGGTCCTCGTGAGGGCATCCGGTCTTCGCCCGTGGGCCGCCTGCGCCCGCAGGCCGTTCTCGCCGCGGCCGTCTTCGCGCGAGAGGGGCGCACGGGGAGCAGCGGGGGGGGAGGAGGGAGGAGGGAGGAGCGAGGAAGGAAGATGACTGGAGGTATGGAGGAGGGAGGGAGGAGGGAGAAGCAGCCGCAAGGCGTCCCTCCACTCCCCGGGTGGAAGCGTCCGTCGTGGACAGCGCCTTCTCTCCTGGCGGTGTGACGAGGACGGCTTGTTCATGAGAGTGAGGAGGGATCAGGGAAGGAGACACGAGGGAGGAGTGAGGAAAGGAAGACTGAGGAGGGAGGAAGCAAGACGGAGGAAGCAGGAGGAAGGGAGGGGCGCAAATAGGGAGGAAGAGAACGGACGGAGCGGGAAGAAGCGAGAGGACGAAGACGGAAGGAGTAAGATGGATAACGACGGACGACGGACGGCCACGGACGACCAGCGACGACCCTGCGACCGACGACGACGACCGGCGACCACGGCAACGACGATCGACGGCGCCGACGACGACCAACGACGAAGACAGGCGGCGGAGGCGACGACCGACGACCGACGACGACGCCGACGAAGGGAGACGACGGCGGACGACGACGACGCGGACTCGGCGGACCCAGAGATCCGATGTCGGACCAGTTTTTCATCCTGAGTCGTTTCTTCACGGTCCCGAGGCCCGGCGAGGGCCCCCAGGGGCCGATATCTGTGAAAAACCTCCGCCTTGCTTTTTTCAATGCGCTGGCTCCCTGGGCGGACTTGGGGGGGCGGGGGCGACGACGGCCACGACGACTGGCGGCCACGGCGCACGACGGCTCGGCCGCGGCGCCGGCGCGAAGGGCGCCTGGGCCGCCAGCGCGGCCGAGGCCTCCAGGCTGCCCAGGCGCAGCCCGTGCTCCTCGGCCCGGCCCAGGAGCTCCTCGCCCGGCATGCCGCGGGGGTCGCGCGGCGGCCAGGGCCTCCCGGCCCCCCCCCGGGCCTCCTCGCCCCTCTCGGGTCGGGCGAAAGGGGGGGCTAGCAAAGCACATGCGCCGAAAGCCTTGGCCAGGAAAACACATGCGCCGATCCTGGGCCCAAGATGGGCCTGGCCAGAATCCATGCATGTGCATTTTTCCCTTC